CCCAGCCAGCATGGCTGGCTGGGGAATTCTGGGAGTTGACGTCCACTCATCTTAAAGTGGCTAAGTTTGGACAACACTGGATTAAGTATTCAGACTTAAACCATTTTTACACCAGGCCATCAGAGGCCTAAATGAACGACCTGCATTTCAGAAGATCACTTTGAAACATTTTTTTTAAAAGCTGTTGAACCTGCTTAAACTTTCCTTAGTTACATAAATTGAGTTTCCCAAAATGGGATTTTTATATATATAAAATATATAAACACGATATACAGATACAGATATATCTCCTACAGCATCCAGTAGTACATTTCTTTTAGGTTCAAATCAAAGTAAACAGAATATGAGTCTGAGCTGTATGAAGCATCTGTTCTCATGTTCCCTAACATTTAGAAAACTAGAAATGTTTAAAGGTATTAGCATATGTATCTTTTAAACCACAAATCTTAGTATTGGAAACTATTTTTTAAAAACCAAAGCTTTAAATTTAACACAGTACATAAAAACACCCTGCTATCAAATAAGAAAGATCTAAGGCTGTCAGACTGCAATATAGAGATTGTGTCTGTTACTTTAAGAAATCCACAGCTGCAAAAAAGAATGCAGCTGTGACTTCTCCCATCCTGTCCAGCTCTCCCCTTTTGTTCTCTATGCTGTCTGCTTCAGCATGTGTGAGAGAAGCAGTAGATAAACTAAACCATAGCTCATCTGTGGTTTTTTGGCAATTCTAGACTGACATCCTCCAACTTGCTTGTGGATGGGAGTCTCATACTTCTCTAGTGCTAATCATCTGTATTAGGAATGAGAAGTCACATGTATTTATATTCTGATGTCAGAACCAAAGATCAAATGCTCATGTGGATCATGGCATGATGCAAACTTCACTAACTATTCAGCTAGTTACAGTCTGTAAGAAAACAGGCTGATTTATTTAGTTCGATAATATGCAACTCACCTGACCCTTATATTATCCCTCTATTTCTCCTTCAAGGCTGTTTGAAAAATACATAACTCAACACCAGAAGGAAAATAAAATGAAACCATGTTTTTCAAATAAATTCATGGATTTTAAGTATCTGTGATACTTAATAACAATAAATCTGAACTTCTGTTCCTTCTGTGAGTTTATAATAAAATGCAGCAGAGCAAATTGTAATTTGTACATTGTAACAGGTATGGAAAGATTTTTTTTTTTTTTGGTTCTGTGTGTTTTTAAAAGCCACATGAAGCTATACATCTACAGTCAAAAGAATTGCACTGACCTAGATTTGCCATAGAATTAGCACCCATATTGAAATCTGATGAATCTTATTGAGATAATTTTGCATTGCATCCCCATAAGACCGATATGATTTCTTGAACACATTTCTTGAACTTCTGCCACCGAATTTTAGCAAAAGAAAACTACAGAATTTAATTTCAATAAAATTGGTAGGAATTTTGAAGAATCAATAAGATTTTATAAGATGAGCCAAATCACTTACTGTGTCCCTTCTCTGAAACAATGTCATCTAATGGGACCCAAGAGATGTGCCTTCTCATGGCACCTGCCCTTTGGAACAGCCTTCTCTTTGATATCCAGATGGCCCCAATCCTACTGGCCTTTTGTAAGGCCATGAAGATCTGGCTTTTCCCTCAGAGGCTAGGGCTAGGACATTACTGGAGCCTGATACGTTGGCATTGTGAGTTCTTGTGAAGTGCCTTGATAACTGTACTGTGATCATTTTTAATTGCAGTTTATTTTGTTTTATACTGGTTTTATAAAATTGATTTTTTGTACCATTTGTCAGTCACCCAGAATTACTTAAGATGGATAGATAAATGATCTGCATACATACATACATACATACATACATACAATCCTGCATTGCACCTGCCTACATAGACATCACTGTTCCACTTCCTTTACCACCAAGATGTGTCACTGAAAAATTACTACCACCACCATCAGTCCATACTCAGAACATAAACATAGCCTTGGAAGAAACCATTTCCACACAGCCCTGTTAACAGGTGTATGATTATCCCACATGAGGAACGAAGGGTGGATGGCTAACTCACAAGAAAAAGCAGAAGCCTCACAAGACAAGCAGAACTTTGAACAAAATCTTTATGACCCCCACTTTTGTAGACATTCCTTCCTCATGAATCAGGTAGTCTCTTCTATTACTAAGTCAAGATCATGTGGAGACAACAGTAGTCTTTCTACCAAAATGGATACATTTACATCACTCTTAATACTGCAGCTATTGAACAATTAGCATGTGTCATTACAATGACACTGATGTCAAATCATCCACACGGAATAAAGAAGACAAAGTTATGGGCAATACGACCCTGTACAGCCAACCAAGTGAGATACAGAACTGACTTTATTCTTTTGCAAAGCAGATGTTTTGCACGTTTAGACATTTTCTTTCTGTTACTGCACCATCCCCAAGGGGTTCACACCCTCATTGAAGCTGACCTGTACATTTGCTTAGAAGGTGTAGCACAGAAAAACTAGAGCAAGGATCCAGAATATGAATCCAACTACCGTAATTGGCTATTGGCATCTGAAACAGTTCTCTGGTGTGAGGCAGAATGGCTGTTCTTCAATGGGAGGTTCTATTCTATAGCATTTATGTTCCACATTTAGTCTGTCTGGGCAAAAACCAAGTTGAACTGGCTGGGTAGAAAATTGTGATATATTTTTACCACACTAAGATTCTAAAATACATTCACGAAGCAATATATGAGACAAGGCCAGTAAGTCAAGGCCATGAGGCTTTTGTGGATCATTAAATGGCATCCGAATGAAGGCCTGGCCATTTGCACCCCTTTGTTGTAGTTATGTTTTCAGTACACATGAACTTTGGCTCTACTTACAAGCTTTTTTTTTAACCACATAAACTAGTCCAGCAATGACAAGTCCTGCTTGAGCCTTGCCTGCTCATAAATGCCTCAGGGTAAGGTCTTTTTCATATTCATTCCTTGTTACCATTGAGAAACTTGGCCAGGAAATAGTATAATAAGAACAAGCCAGAAAACCTAGCCAGGCATAGATAAATCTTTCTTGCCTTTCAAAGATCCTGTCTGCACCACAAATTTTATGATCAAGATCCTAATATTAGAACGGGTGTCTCTAATCTACTTAAACACTTGCTTTTAATTTGAACCTTGTTCATATCTTATAATCTGGTTGAAATGCTGATGTACCCTGCAGCTTTACCCTGCAGCTATTATTTGAATAGCTACAGATGACAGGATGCATTGAGACGAAGGCTGTAAGTAAAAACTCAGCTCTCAAAAGTTGGTTGCAAGGGCTGACTGCAGAAGAGATGTAATTCACTTACAAACTGTGTTGTGAGCTAACCTCCAAAGAAGGATCGTAAAGAAAGGGAAAAATGTCTATGCATGCCAAAAATGGAGGTAACCCCAATCCTGTATAATTTCCCCCACAATTAAATGTGCCACAGGGTTCATCAGATATAACTGGAGGAACTGCTTATTATTTTAACATACAAAGGAATTTAACAGCAATCTTAATATGTCACGTTATTCCATCTTCTAAAGCGAACACGAATATGAAAATGATACATCTCTCTATACCTTGCTTCTTTTAAAAAAGAAAAGGAAATGGAAAGAAGGGCCAGTATGAAGCTAATTCTTATGACATTCATACATTTATTTTGCAAGATACACACGCATATA